CTAATGCCTAAAATTTCCTTCCTCTGATTATCAGTCTAGGCCATTTACAAGTTCCCAATGTGGAGGAAATTCCTTTTTCCCAAACCTAAACACAACAGCTAACCCTCATTAAAGACCCAGTGAATCAGTGGCCGAGTACTAAACCCTAAACTGTGACCACCTTATCTGGTAGAACGCCTCCTTCCAACCACATGTGCCCGTTCTATAAGACCTTTGCAGGCTGGACGGCTAAGAGCTTTGACCCCGAGAGAGGCCCAGAAAACAGTAACCAGAAATCGTTAGCCTCACAATTATGGAATGCTCTCCTGCCAAATATTCGCCTAGCGCGAAAATTTCCATTGGGAAATTTTAAGCAATTATGAAAAACATTTCTATTTAGACAGGCCTTCCTCGACTCTATATCATCTGATATAATAGCACTAAAATAATCAAAATTTGCTAAAGTTCAACTTCGGCCATGCTTTCTTTATTTTAATTTAATGTTCCATTGATATTGTTTTTGTCTATTGATTTTGTTTAGGTTATTTTATTTTATTGTCTGCTTTGTATTGTTTGTCTTTATATTTTGTTTTGTGGGATTTTGTAAACTGACCAGAGTGGCCTGGGTTGCCAGATGGGCGGTATAGAAATTAAAACAAACAAATAAATATTGTTGAAACCTGCGCTCCCTGTAACCAGCAGTGGCTGCAGCATTTTGGACGCACGCTGAAGGCTCTGAACACATTCCAAAGGCAACCCCACATCGAGCGTATTACAGTCATCCAGCTGGGTTATAACTAAGGCGGGTGTCGCCATGGCCAAATCAGACTTCTGCAGGAATGGGTGCAGCTGGCACACTAGTTTTAACAGTGCAAAAGGCACTCCTGGACACTGCCCAAACCAGGGTATCAAGACTCAGAAACGAATTCTGGAGCACACCCTGGATTCTCACTTCAGTGACAGGAAACAAGTCTTCCCCCACACTTGAGGACAGCAAATACCTCAGAGGGCCCTGAAGAGGAACATATAATTATGTCCCACCAAGGAGAACAGTTAGGCGATTGCACACTACATAAAAGCCATCATCTATCACATGAGGAGGCCTCCCCACTTTGTGAAACAAGAGGACCAGTCATCTGTGTGAAAACACAGAGGACACTCCACAGCAGCTTACAGGCAGTTTACGGTATATATAGAGCTTCAGATCACAACACGAACTGCAAGGGGCTTATGGGACAACTAGGGCCACTATAAGAAGCACAAGTGTTTCCCTACAGGAGAAGTGGGATTTTTTTTCCTTGCCCTCCAGATGTTTTCACCTCCAACTCCCAGATGCTACAGCTTTCAGGAAGGAATTCTGGGAGCTGTAATCCAAAACATCTGGAAGGTCAAAGGTTTCGCCATCCTTGTCCGGCCTGTAGATGCCACAGAGCACAGGGTCAGGCTGCTAACTATACATTCTTGTTTTCTTCAGCTACTTTTGAGTTCCCTTGCCTGGCGGATTGTAACTTGGTGAGAGAGAAGCAGCCACTGAGGTCCTTCTCTCTGCTTCACTTTCCTCTGACCATCTTTTAATTACATTCTGTTTGAAAGTTTCCGGAGCCTCTATCTACAGTCTGCATACACGGAGCCTGATTACCCAGTTCAGTTCCTTAACAATCAGAGCCAAACTATGTCAACAGATTCCCTTCTGTCTGCCCAGTGCTTCGCTGTGACTTGGTAGCATTTCTTTTCCTTCCTGACATCCACTTGGCACATGTATATATAGGACTCCTCACAGTATCACACAGGGGACAACCAAGCCCATTGAGTTCCCTCAATCAATGTATTGCTTTTGCCTCCCTTCAATCCCAGTCTCTTTGCCTCTCCTCAAAGTCTCAAAACTATCACAGCATTTGTATCCACCTCATTTTTTAAAAATGTATTTAACTTATACAGATTTAAGTTATACAATCCCATTTTGGCCTATATTTCTTTTATATCGTGTTTATGGTTGTGGGCAAAAAAAGGTTGAGAATGGCTGATCTAGATTGTGGGCAAAAAAAAGGTTGCGAATGGCTGATCTAGAGTATCCTTAAAAGCTGTCAAAATTACAACATTTAAAAAAATTAGGGCAAACAGCAGAACGGAGCGGAAGTAACAGGGTTCGGTTTCTGATACAAACTGGTAAACCTGCTCTGTACTACCAGCAGTTTAGCACAAGAAATGAACCATTTCAGCATTAAACTTGTTGTATTTTCTTTTCTAAAGGGCTTGCTGCAGAAAGATGTACTGATTGTTCTCAAAACTATAATTTAGTGAGATGATGCCAGAGCAAGAAGGGGGCGTTCTGAAAGGGGCAGGAAAAATAGTGGGGGAAGGAGTGAAAAGGGTGGAGAATTAATGGAGGAGGGAAGGGAATGAGGGTTGGGTTTTAGGAGAAAATGTTGCTGTTTTCATCCTCTGTGTGGACAGAGGCACTGGAGAGTCCTGGAATACAAGATGTTGGACACGGGCACGCAGAGTGTGAAGAGTACCAATACAAATGGTGAAGAAGCAGTGTAGGGAGCATGCAATAAGCTGCCTGAAATCATTCAGTCTGGAAGAACCCTAACTCTTTTCCCTCTTTTATTTAAAACAAACAAAGAGAGGAAAAACCTGCTTCATATCACCTTGTGATTCACTTAACAGGTTCCAACCTATCAGTTTAAAGGAAGTGCACTATCTCATTATAGGGATATTCTTCAAGGGATTGTTGTGAAGATAGGTCTGTGTGTGGTGGGGTGAAGATTATTAAAATAGTGCTGGCATTTAAAAGACATATTTTATTTTTGTAAACACTGCAAGTTACTGTGGCTGAAAGGCCAGGGAAAGAATGTTATTTAAATGCATAAAACAAAAAAGTCCCTGTTAAGAATCTCACATACTACAATATTTGTGAAGTGCTTGTAAATGTGGGCAGAAAGCAGGCAGGAGCAATTTCAAAACCAAATATAAAGTATGGCCACATACTCGTTACACCTGAGTTACAGAGTTAGGAATGCAAAACACAGCATAATGGCAACTGATAGAAACTGCCTCCCAGCTTCACCTGGGATTATCCTTGCTAATTACATGAAAGGCCTATTCAGCTGACAACACAAATTCTAGAGACCATTTAATGTTCTTCATCCATCTCTGCTCTGATTTACTGCCAGTCCTGGGTACCTGTGTATCAAATCTGGAGCCCAAATCTGCCCAAGGAGGCATTCTTAAGAGCTGCCCCACAACCATGGGGCACCCTTCCTCTGAAGATAACAGGAAGTTTTAAATTCAAGAAACATTCACAGCCACTGTGAGATGTTAGGACAACCTTCCTCAAATTAGCAGCCTCCAGATGTGTTGGACTACATGCCCCATTTTCCCTAGTCAGAATGGCGTATGATGAGAGCTGTATTCAGTGTCTCATTCTAGACGCCTGCTTAGGAAGGTTATGGCAGGCCACCTGAGAAAGATGAGGTAAGTTGTGATGATCTCATGCTTTCACCTAATTCTTCCCTATATATGTGGGCTTTCTATGTATACGTGAGATTTTCCTTTAAAGACATGAACTGTTAGTATGGGTGCTTGAACTCTGTTCAAGACTTTGAGCCTGGATGGATAAGAGGGATCTGAAGGAACAGAATGATAGGGCTAGAAGGAATCATAGAGACCATGGAACCCACCCATCTCAAGGCGGGATGTTCTATAAATCACCTTGCCACAGATCACTGCACAAAGTGACTTTATCCCGGCCAAGTGACTTGCCCCACTTATCCTGCGGCAAAAGGTTGTGTGCTCATCTAACAGTGCTGATGGAAGTAACAGGACCTGCTGAATCAGCACATCCAACACTCACCGCGACACAGGGAGACAACAGCAGTAATCACTACGGAGAGTCCCATAGACTTGCAGAGACCCATGGGGGAGAGCATTCAAGACTGGGGAGGGCACTCTCCATGCTCCCCTAGTAACAGCTACCCACTGCTATTACTTCTTTCACTTCTGATTTGGCTGCCCTAGGGGCTTGGGAAGAAGAGGAGAAGGACCACCTAGAAGTGTTCAGAGCAAAGAGTATCCCATGTTACAGCCCCCGAGGAACATAAATCCAGTAAATGAACCACAGGTCCGTCCCCCCCCCCACCCCAGCAGCAAAGACAGCTAGAGGATCCTTCACTTTTGGAAATGCATCCTACTAGTCCTGGTGGGGCCCTACGATCTACTCCAACTTCCTCTCCCCATCCTATCCCTGGAAGCTGATCCAGATCTTAATTCTCAAGAGGAGGACATTTGGAAGAAAGGCTCTGGGAGAATGGGGCAGCTCATGACTTCCCCGTTAATTGCTCCACCCATATACCACATGGATTAAAGTCTGCCCTAAAATCCCATTTATTCACACCACCAGGGCTAATGGTTAGTCTTTTAAACAAAATGCTAACCTCACTTGCCTCAGGCATGCCTAGGCACCAGACCTTTGAGCTAGAAAAGGCTGCTTCCCATTTCACGTGCCGGGAGGTTGACTACCGTTGGCATGGAGAGGCGTTTTTCACATGCTCAGAGGCACTGCCTCGATTGTTTCACACGTTCCCGAGCTTAAGCCCAGCCATCAGCCTGAACCCGGGAAACCCGACCACATTTTTCACATACTTCCTTATCTTTACAGCGTAGGTTCCAGCCATACTCCCAAAGACACGACCCAGGGCTGATTCCCGGCTCTAATTATGCTTTGCCTCTCGGAAAGCACTCTAGCTATGCCTAGTGGCACTCTCCTCCCGTTATCTCCCTGTACAGTACCTGTACTCCAATGCGTAACTCCAACAGAGCAATCTTCGCCTTCAGTTAAGACCCACCGACCGATTGGGACGGAGAGGAGGCGAAAAAAGGCTTCCACGCCACCTACCCTGATGCTAAAACCACTTCCATGGCAGGAAAAGGCCACCGATCTCCCCCGGGCTTCGTTCCGAGTCGAGGGCGACCGGCAAGGGAGAGCGGAGGGGGCAGAAAGAGCGGGGCGCCCGGCATACCTTGGAGCAACGGGGACTGGGACAGCTCGGCGCGATCCTCCGGGAAGGAGTCGAGCAGGCGCTTGAAGAGGCGGCCCAGGTCCGAGTAGCTGCGGTGCAAGTAGAGGACGTTCCGGTCCGACCACTCGGTGCGGATCTCGAAGAATTCCTCCTCGTCGCCGCGCCGGCTGATGATGAGCCTCCGGATGCCGTTCACCCAGCAGCCCCGCACGTACATGTTCACCAGCGAGGTCCCTTCAAACACGGCCGAGGCCATCTCGCCGCTGTCCGCGCATACCACGCCGCCGCCCCCGGAGGGGGGGGGACACGGGGCGAAGTCCTCCAAGGGCGCCGCTAAACTCGGCAAGAGAGGGAAGGCAAGGGCGACGGGCCGGCGGCTCCCCTCGGAGCTCCGGGCAGGGCAGGCGGGCTCCTCC